TCACCACCATCATCACCATTATTACCATCATTATCACCACCATCATCACCATTATTACCAGGATTATCACCATCATCATCACCATTATTACCATCATTATCACCAATCATCGTCATGAATGCCAGCATCATTACCTCATCAAGGACGTACGATTTCCCCCCCACATACACACACCTCTCCCTCCCCCCCGCTGCCCGCAGCCCTCCGCACTTACTTGTCCAGCGAAGCCGACACGAGAGCGCCGCCCTCCGCCTGCCCCTCTCCCCCCGATGGGGGAAGCAGCCCCAGCGCTGTGACCTGGTACTCGTGGCCCTCAAGTACGGCAAGGCAGGCTGCAGTCTGCGGGTCCCACACGCGAACCGTCTTATCTCGGGAGCCTGAGAGGAATAAGGAATGGGTAGGAGGGTTTAACTTACAACGGAAGGGGGAGAAGGCATCGAACGCAAACATCAACGCAAGGGGAATTAAGGTCCCGGGGGGGGATTGCTTCATGCAAAGCATCGCAGAGAAGGGAGTATATATACACCTACACCTTTTTGGAGGGTGACGCTGCTCAATGTGTAAAACATACAACACACGTATGCAAACACGAACATGCACAAAACACGCACCCGTGATGATCGCGCCCTGAGGGTAGTCGCTCAGAGCCCCCGGCGGAGCGTATAGCACAGGGCATACAAAGTCCGTGTGGCCGACCAGCGTCTGCGCCAGGCTGAAACCGGCGGTGCCGCCGCGGGGCCCAGATGAAGATGTGCCGGCCTCGGGGGCGGGGGAGTCCTCCACCCATACTTTGGCGGTCTTGTCCCTGCTTCCAGTCAAAACACCTAGGGCACATACTGATACGCCACGGACCTGAGGGGGTCGGTGCAGGTGTGGTTGCACAAAAGGCGAAAAGGGCTTGATGCTGGGATGCAGGGTATCTCTTGAAAGGCATGTAGAGCAGCATACCTTACATACGTGCAAAGAAACTAGCAAGTATGGTTAAGAAATAAAGGGAGGAAACTAGGCAGGTCCCGCAACGCCAGGTGCTAGATCTTGAAGACCACATCCGACACTATTCATAGCCTTGATCATGTCTAATTCATCAGATCTACAAACGATAAAGACCATTGGTTTTAACTGTGTAATATATATGGAGCGTGACCTTACATCTTCGTCATGGCCCCGAAGCTCAGCTCGGAGGTGGAACTCCTTCATCGATCCCGTTTAGTGTGCAAGCACGGATAATCTGCTTCCTAAAAAGCAACTGCCGGTAAAAAGGACAGGACAACCTAACCCTGTGCAATGAAACCCTTTTCGCTAGTAGTTATGGGGCAACCCTTTCGGCCTGGCAAGTTTTAAACCGTGGCCTACCAAACAAAGCATAGTAACATGTTGCCGCAAAACCAGCATGTGCGAAAAATTTCCGAATGTATGTAGCCCAGTGTACGGGCCGAAACCTCACTGCCAATGCCGAAATAGTTTCCGATTTTTGGACCCTTCTGCGAAACCTCGCGAAACTGCCGGAACCTGCCGAAACCCTGAAAATGCTGTATTTTATGACGTCCATGGTATGCAAACGTTGTTCGTGGGCCCTATGTGCCTTTGCGCCTCATGGGACCTGCTCATGTGTGTCCGAAGGCACTCCGGGGCACCATAATGTTACTAATCTGCGATTAAAGCTTGAATTCACTGACATTTTTCTTATGTAACTGGCGTCTGATGTTGGGATGCGCAAAGGGAAACTTTTACATGAAGCTGCTGATTCCTGAAGGCGCCCTTGCTTGGACTCGGTCCGGCAGTACTTGCAGATGATAGTCCAGTTCTTACACTTTGCATTATATTTTTTCTTCTCAAAGTGAGCCCAAACGGTCTGATCAGCGGTCCTTCCGCCCTTGTTTTTGACCGAATCTGTGTCTGCACTGACAACGGAAGTTGTCTGAGACATTGATAAGATAAACTCAACATTCGCAGAGTTTCGCAGCCTTGCACAACGCGCCTACACTTTGAAACTATTCAAAGTAGGTTCCGCCGTACGGCGCTAGCCGAAAGGGGCCGAAACTAGTTTCGGCCTTTCCGCAGAACCAGGACCTCTTCGCCGGAAACACCGAAACTAGTTTCGGCAGGTTTCCGTTTCGGCAGGTTTCCGTTTCGGCCCGAACACTGATGTAGCCCTACGGTATACACAGCCGTACGGGACTCTCTTGGTGCACGTTGAGGTTGTGGTTGAGGTGTCAACTGTTAAAATTGGATAATATCTTGGGGAGCACGGTGGTACTTGAAGACATTCTGCGTAAGGGATTGGTGATTAGGAATGGTTTGGTGGGCTGGTGAGCTGGTAACCATCCGATGCGATTCTGCAAGGGCGCCACCGCAGCTGTCGGTGCGATGTCAAGTGCAACCAGCTCAGACGACACACGGAGGATGAGCAATAACGCATAGCTTTAGCTTTCATGTTAGTCCTGACGCCTGCTCAACAAACTCTTAACAACTCACCGAATCTACAAGAACGCTTCCTTAACTGAGCCATGTTGCGTATCGAGCCACATTGCGTATGTAATGAGCAGTAGGAACGAGATACGGATATTTACGTAGCGGAAATGATTTCACAGTTTGAATCGGCTAGTTGGTTCTTGACAACCAAATGTCCGCCTACACGGAACTAACCGGAGGAAGGATATACCCTTGTTGGGGTACGGCTGTACAATAGTACGGCAGGAGTTGTTCCGCCTATGCGTTACAAGGAATAGTAATAACGACAGTTTTCTCTCCTCCCCCCCAAATGGCGAACCAATTGGCTAGCTGGAGTGAGAGGTTCGAAGCCATAGTTAAGGAAGAAAGGAGTATTCTTAATGGCTTCATGATAGGAATTGTTAACAGCAAACTCAACCAAAGGAAGGAAGCAGCACTCCGCGGGTATTGCTTGCTGGTTTGCAGCTTTTCCTTCCACGCCTGATGACATGCATCTTGATGACCCACCTAGCCCACGGAGTGTGTTATTACTACATGACATTATCGGACATCGGGCCTAACTAGGAGCATAAGTAATATCGTTGGGCGGCTGAACTAGCGAGCATGCATGCATCAGCCTCTGTGTGTATGTGTGTGTATGTGTGTGTATGTGTGTGTGTATGTGTGTATGTGTGTGTATGTGTGTATGTGTGTGTATGTGTGTGTATGTATGTGTGTATATTTATCTTACATGGTTAGGGGCGCGTGACCCCATACCTGTAGAACTACCCATACGAGCCGAAGGCTTAGGGCAATGCCTAAACGCCTAAAGCCACGGAGGAATGGAAAGAGAGCACTATCAGCCCAGACTAGCGTCCAGACTAGCGCCCAAAGGGGATACCTGTGTTGCGGTGAGCCCATGGGCCACGTAACTGAGTTGCGGTGAGCCCACATATGCTCCAACGGCCCTCGCCAGACGTGCTGGCTCCCATTTCATGGCCTCCAACATACATCCGGATACCAAAATTACGCCCGCCATACGCAGAATACCCCTTCATTGGAGTTGAAGCCGGAACCGCGCGCTTCGCTGGTTTCGGCATAACCAGTGCGACTGAAGTGACCCATGCTAGCATATGTAATATTATGCAGCGGAAATTCAAACCAGACATGCGGTGGGATCGTGGCCATTAGCACCTACTACATTTCATCGCTTCAACCCCCGTTGCCGCCGTCGGCTCCTCGACCGCCGCCATCACTCCCTCCATCGCCGCGGCCGCCTCAAACTCTTCGTCCGCCTAAACTGCCGCCACCCCAGCCGCCCAGCCCCTCACCACCATCACCCAAGCCACCCAGTCCCTCACCACCAAGCCGCCAATGCCGTTTCCCACCTCTCCAGAACCGCCGTTTGGGACCAACGCCGCTTTGGGCAAGATCACCTTCGCGTCCACCGTCGCCAATAACAACACTTGGTTGTGCAGCTCTCAGTTCGCGCAGCTGACGGCATCATCAGCGACACCGAGGACGGCATTTCCTGCAGAGGCGGAGGCAGAGACCTCCTCCACCCCTGGCTGTCCATAGACCTAGGCTGCCTCGTCAACGTCAACGGAATTGTGCTGTACAACCGCCGGGACTGTCGAGGAGAGCTGCTGGCGAACGTGGAGACCCATATAGGTGACGTGCTGGTGAGCAACCACCCCATTGCGACCATTGAGGATCCTCAGAGCTAAACCAGCTGGTGCAACGGGGATAGCGGGGCCCAGCACCACCGGTGCCGTACACGTGATGGAGCTTGGATCCCCAGTCACCGGCCGCTACATTACCGTACAGAGCCTAGCAGGAGGTAATGCCACCGCCGCGCCTATAGCTTGCAGGTAGCGGAGTTGCAAGTGTACGGCAACCCAGCAGGGATGGTCCCTACGAAGTTTCGCTGGCTGTGGCTTGGGGGAATCAGCGCCAGTAGCAAAAGTAGTGGCTGAGGCAACGTTGGTTTTGACTCGTCTTCTTCTCTTACGGAAGCAGCAGGTCGGTTTTACGTACGGGCGAGGTTAATTGTACGTGAATCGAACCTATTTTTACCAGCCGCATAATTGTGATTTTTTCACAAAGTGGACGTACGTGTCAACCCATGCTTTGCCACCTTGTGCCGTTGTAGTAGCTGGTACACAGTACGGCTCTACAAATACGCATGAAGCGCGACCACCAGCATCTCGAGAGGCCTTTTCAGCGGCCAGCTACTACAATGCCGTCACCTTGCCTTGCCTTGTTCGGCTGCGCAGTGCTTACTGCTTGGGACTCTGTCCAAGCAGCAGACTGCTCTTTGCTGCAGTACGGCGCAATGTACGGCATTACGGCATGGTGCTGCCCGCCAGCACCCAGCCTGATGAGGGCTCTTGCTGCCAGACCTGCTTCTCCCGGGCCGACTGCGCCGAATGGCCGACTACATCTACAGCAGCCGTACATGCCGCCTTTGGCCGGACAGCCCCTTTGGCTGGAGGTACGGCAGGACGATGACAGCGTGGCGGGCTCACGTAACGGTACGTGTGCAGACTTGGTACGGGAGGAGAGACCCAGTATGCATGGACATGAGAGCTGCTGGCGCTGTGGTGTATGATCTGGTTCCCATTTGCTTTGTCCGCAGGCGTGAGCACCTTCGTGTGCCATCCACCTTGCGGAATGGCGGG